TGGAACTCACCTATTTAAAATAAGCCCCCCAAATGAGTCATTTTCAATTCAACAATCCCATTAATATATATGACGAAGTCCCACAAAATGCTAATTTTCTTTTATTTATATTGCCCATGCTACCTGCTCACCTTTCATTATAATTTTTTCTCCTTAAGTGTCTATCTTTACTTTACAAATAAAAATGGGAAATTTCTATAAAGAAAATATTAATTTTAACTTTATTTTTAATTATTGTTTATTCACTCAAAAGTAATCAGTACTTTTTTAAAAATCACCTATAGAAGGGGCCAGAATACAGCTCAGCAACACAAGCGCCTGCCTGGAAAGTGCAAGGCCCTGAGTTTGATTCCCGGTACCCCCCACAAAAAAAATCGTTTCAAAAATCACCTATAGAAGAGCCAATGCGCAGGCTTTACAACTACAGTGTAAAAGGTGCATGGGCAAAGAACCAGAATTTTGTAAGAGTTTTTACCGAACAGGAAAAATAAAATGTAGACTCATAATTAAAACTCCCAACATCCAAATGAAGTATCTGACTGTCCACCTCTGAGAACACATTTCTAATCAATGAATAAGCTTTAACTGCAATCCATACAATTTACCTACTGCCATTTACTTCAAAATTTAGAGCAATTTTTCTGAAATGGATTGAAAAAACTGGAAGCAGGGAAATCATTTAAATGTCTGCACCCAAATTCAGCCATTCACAGGTAGAAGCCTTGAAGAGAAATGTTAAGAATGAACCTTAGAACTGAATTTGAAAGATCAGCAGCAGAATGAATGGAGCTCACTACACGCAACTCAGCACGAGGGAGAGAAACAAACAGAGTGCAGTTAAAGTGCCCTTCATGCATAGCTGGGAATAAGACAGACACAACAAACTGAAGGATGTGTACATCTTAATGAGCAATCCTGTGGCCTAACACGAACACGGCTGTATATGTAATATACAACTCAGCAAGCACTATCTCACGTGTTCAACAATTGAAATAGAGATATAAGTAAATGCTCAACAACTTAAAGCTCTGGCAAGACTACAGAAATTTTTATCTCCAAGAACTAGGACCTGATGAATATCCCACACGCAAAACTGCAAAGGCCACAATGTGTAATAAGTCAGGTGACAAAAATGACTAACCAGGCTCAGTGTCTCACTGTATTCTGACAATTTGTTTATTTCACAAATGTTTGATTTTTCACAGCATAATAACCCCCAAAGGCATTAGTATTTCTGACCTAGTTCCTAGACAAAAGAGAAAAGTGTACGTGGGTGGGGAAGGGGGATAGGAGATCAACTTGTAAAAGAAGTGAATTCAAAACAATTCAGTAAAAGAACTGACCACAGTGACTTAATTTGAGTACTGCTGAAGCCCACTAGGTAATTTCATGAATGCTGGTTTCCTTCAATTTTGGTAAAGGTGTCATAGAACGGCTTTTGTTTTAAATATGTCACACTGAAAAAGGCCATTTTCCTAGGTAATATCTAGAGAGAAATTTCAAATCATGAAAATGAGATAATGAAACCACTATCCCTAAAAACTACAAAATAACAAGTGAGGTTTTCTGCTACATAATATTGAGATGTATTAGTAACACGCAACCTCTACTTGGTTGTTTCTTGGAAGAGTTTAACAGAAAATAAGAAAGCTACAGAGAGAAATCAAAGGTTACCTCTTGGTCTGCTTTGGACCGGTCCTCAACGAAGTTTATGAATTTTACAAATGACAAAATTAAGCACAAACCAGTACACTATGTTAGCCTAGAAAAATTTCCAAATATGTACATACAATATACTCTCAGGCCTACTTTCAAAACTATAGACTTTAAATTGTCTAAAGTTAACAACCTAATGACATCTCACAAACACACACATTGCCATATTATCAAAAAATGTTAAACTTGTGAAAAGTTTACTGTTCTCATTTTAACTCATGGTACTGAGTTACTGCATAAGGAGAAAGGCTGTACATTAATTTATCTACATCAAACGCACACAAGAAAAACTGTGACAAGTGGAGAGGAGATAAGTAGCCAAGGACCTCAGAACCCAGTGGGAACAACACAGTTACGAGTTCCATAATTTTCTTTGTCTCATGTATACCTAATTAAATCAGCCCAGTGCTCTTGGGGAACAAATGTGCAAGTAAGAGCTTCATAACTGCATCTTGTAGCCATCTACTTCCGCCCTGGTAGACTTCCATGCTCAGTTGCAAGGTTTCTGACTGCCACCTGCTCCCCTTTTTGGATTCTGAGGGAGATGGTTCTGCCTCCTTCCCACATCCATATTTGATTCTGTTCAGATCACTCTTCAAAAACCCAATGAATCTGGATTTTTTTGTTTGTATGTTTTTATTTCCTGTTTTCTCTTAATTTTCTCCATACCATGAACAATGTTCTAGCCATAGCATTGTTCATCTCAATAAATATTGTTCAAAACTATGGTTTGAAACTCAGCCAAAGAGAAATCTATATGTCACATAAGTCTTCTAATCGTCAATCATTCCACTCCCTACATGCCATTTGCCTTTGCTATTTAACTTTTTATCACTGCATCTGGATTAATCTCTTTCTGACACATAACCAGTATCCACATCAATCTTCATTCTGATTTGGTCCTTTACAAACTGAAATGACTGATTTCCTTTTTTAAATAAAACTACAGAGAATACTGAAGATTTACTAAAAATAAGATAGACAAAACCTGCATAGAAAGACTCATCAATCAAGTGTCACAACTTTTTTTGTATCTCTGCCCACAGGGCCACAGCCAATCCTCAGCTCCCTCCCCCAGCCCAAGTTTTGTTTTATTTTGTTTTGCAAGTGGTACTGAAGATTGAACTCAGGACCTTCACACTGACCTACATCCCTAGCCCCTTCTCTTAGTTTGAGACAGGGTGTTGCTAAATCTGCAAATTTTTTAGGCTGGGCTCAAAATTTCAATCTTCCTCCCTCAGCCTTTCACAGCATTGGGATCACAGCTGTGTGCACCATGCCCACTAAGTGTGAACTCCTACCTCGTCCTGATAGCCAGTCTGATTACTTAAATTTCCCTTCACCCACAGCATGTGTGTGTGTGTACAGACATGAGTGTGTATGAATACACAACTAATATTAAATGTAAATAATTCATTTGTGTACTATCCTATATCTTATGGTCCCTAACTATTCCATTTAAGCCTCATATACCAAATGAAACCACATATTGAAAACAAAACTAAATCATATTCTTATAATTCTTCTTCCACATTGTAAACTGTGGTGCTATACACAGAAGGCAGAAAGTTTATTCATTCAGTGAATGACAATTAATTCCCCACCGGTTACCATGCTGTGGGCTGGGGATTAAGAAAAGCCAAAAAAAAAAAAAAAAAAAAAAGAAAAGCAGAAGGCCAGGTCTGTCTATAAAAGGCCTGAAGACGCTGTGAGAGAGATGTGTAAATAAGGATTGTAAAGTGCCTTCCAAGAAGGAAAATGGAGCTGTATCCAGGCATTATGGGAGGACTGAGAGAAGCACCTAACTCTGCCAGAAAGACACTCCCAGAGAAAGAAACATTTTCTTTAAAGAGACGTATGAGGCAAACAGGAGGTAGGAATGGCATTAAAGAAACATGGGATATGTAATCCTAGCACTTGGGAAGCTGAGGCAAGAGGACTGCAGCAAGCTTGAGGACAGCCTGGAGTACATAGTGAGTTTAAGGTCAGCCTGAACTACATAGCAAGACTTGTCACAAAAAAGGGGGAAGAGGCAGCCAAGTGAATATATAGAAACAGATCAACAATGAGGTAAGTGAGCACATATGTTCAGAAATTATAAAAATGCATAGGCTCTCAGTGTGGGAACAGAAAAGTCAGTGGCCTGGTGAGCATGGCAGCAAGTCCTTGATGAATCTGTGCATGTTCCCCTGAGCGTAGCCCTTCGCGCAGGCTCAGGGTTACAGTATGGAAAGTGTTCAGAAGTGACAGGATCACAGGACCATTCTGCTCATGACATGGTCTGCAGTGTGCAAAGAAGGAAAAATGGAGAAATGTTAAAAAAATTATATCAGGATATCACACAAAAATGATGAAGATGAGCTAGGAATGCCAAGAATTTAATCATGATCCTTTAAATGAAACAAAATGAGTGAGGAAAGTAGTAAAGGACTCTGACCAACGCTTCATATGAACATTATTGAAAGTCAAATTCATTCTCAGTTCGGGAATCATTTTTTTCTGTCTTTAGAACTGCAGCTCTCAATGTATAAACAAGAAGAAACAGGCCAAGATTAGTATTTTAAAGCCTAAGTTGGAAACCGTTTATCTAGCTACTGATCTTGGAATGTCTTTCAAACACCAAGTGTTCAGAGATAACAGAATTCCATCTCCCTTCAAACCTGTCAAAGTGAAGGGGCTGCAAACATACCTGTTTATCAGCTTTTCTTTTTAAAATGAGTACTGAAGGCAGAAAACAGAGCGTCAGCATCACTCATTCTGTTTGGCCTTTATGCCACCTGACTTCTTGCCTTCCCTGGGAACCCTACGTCTTCCCCGGGGCCCCCTCCCCCAGAATTCAAATTATTGCTTTAACACCTTAACTCACTTTCATGTCACGTGGTTAGACATCTGGCAAACTGCCTCAGCTAACTTGACACACCAAATCATTTTATGATTTTTCCTTTAACATCAATGATTCCATTTCTAAGAGGTAAACTGTCCCAACAAATGTATATTAATTTAGAATACCAACCAGATAAATATGCTGCTAATGTTTGTAGCATAAAATGCGGTAACAAAAGAAAATTTTTTAAATTTTAAAATGCTCTCATAAAAGCAGTCTTTTCTGGCAGGGCATGGTGGTGCACACCTGTAATCCCAGCACTCGGGAGGCTGATTCAGGAGGGTCATTGCAAGTTCGAAATCAGCCTGGGCTACAAAGTGAACTCAAGGCCAGCCTGAATTGCATAAGGAGACCCTGTCTCAAAAAGACAAAAAAAAAAAACAAAACAGTCTTTTCTTACTTGATTTATATAAGAGACAGCCACTTCAAGTACATCCACACTCTTCGCAACTTTGAGACCTATAACATAAAATAAACAATAAATAACTACAGGGGAAAAAATATAGCATGTGGCCCTTGTTATAGTTTAACACAATAAAATGGATAGCAAAACATCACTCCACTACTAGATACAACATAATAACTTTAGAAAGTAAAAACATTCACTCCTTCAGTCATATACCCACATTTACCATTCTGTTAATCTTGCTAAGACCCACTGAGCATCTTCGAGGTCTCAGGCATTATGCCTGAACTGAGAAGCATTGGAAATCTTGCATATTCCTTTAGACAAAGTGACTGTCAATAACTCAATGAGGTCAGCATATATGTACAGCCTCCCAGCTCATGGTTTAGCTCTGAACTCTACGATTACCTACCCAAAAGCTATTCCCTAAATATTCTGGTTAATACATTGCAACACACACACACACACACACACACACACACACACACACACACATACGCACACACACACAACCAGTTACTCTCCACCCTTTACTCTTTCATTTTTGCATGTCTTACATGCTATCGTACTCCTCTGGGACTTCAGAACCAGGAAGAACTGAGAGACGCTAGCTAGCCTCGCTCACTTTGCCATCCATGCCTGGGAATGTGTCTGGCTAGACTCACATGCATCTGGTGGTAACAAACACTTCCGGACTCATAAGCTATTGAAAGGTTAAAGCTTCACTTGAAATAAAGCCCTAACAGAATAGAGTTTACTTAGTACTTCTGTGAGTACATAAGATCCAGATCCTATGAAATTTGGCAGGCCAGTACAAACCAATTCATTCAGCTCCACTTCTCTCCAGTGTTATGGATACAGTCGAAGCCAAATGTTAACTGCTCTCCAAATACATTTAAACTAAAATGCAGAAGCAAGAAAAGGAATATACAAGGAAACAGAGCTAATCTTACTGAAAAAAGAATGAACACCAGCGTAAAGCATTCATAACACAAGCTTTTCAAAATGTCATCCAGGCTTCAAGTTCATATTTTTTCTGTAAATTATAAAGATACATTATGTTAGAGTAGATAATACAGAAAAATGTGGTATTCCATATAACTGTGCTTCAGTAGTATATCCATATTTGGATCAAATAAAGTAAAGGTTTTATTTAGAACACCAAACATAAGAGAACTAAAACAAAAAGGCACTCAGAATCTCACAATATCATATTTAGAAAAACCTGATAGAATAAGGCCCCACTTTCAAAATCTATTTTCTAAAAGAACTCAGTATTAATTTCACATTGGTGTAAAAGCACATAAAAGTTGCATTTTCTCTACCCTGGGTCCCAGGCCTTTAGTTCTGTAAGTATAGCCCATTGTGTAATTCCCAGGCCAGGATGCAGTAGACAAATTAATTAGTCTATTAAGTCTCAGTCGTATCCTGGCCCTGATGTTTAGGTTAGCACCTTCAGCAACAAGTTTCTAGCACTCAACTATGCTGCCATTTGTTCCTCAGAGGAATTAGGAATGGGAGGAAAAAAGAAAACAAGGCTGGGAAAAGTTCCCACTGACCTAAAAGCAGAAACATGCACGTGAGTTAGAGGTAAATTGGTGAATTCATAAAAAACGAGAAAAACTCCAGTTGATTAGTTCATGCTATTTTAAGCGATTAGGAGGAAAATAAATGGCTTCATATCTTAGAGAAACCTAAACAGCATTTAACACTCTACAAAATCAACCTAAAAAAGATGCTAATTTGCCATGACTTAGCACTAAAGAGAAAGCAATGATCTCATAGGGCAGACTCTGCAGTATTTCATGGGAAGATTAAACACTTGTCTAAATACTGGAGATGTTAAAAATGACTGCAATGAACCAAATCACACGCCTGAAAAGTACACATGTCTGTGCACATGTGTGTACACACACGGAGATGCAGAGAGCGACAACGGAGGCAGGAAGGACATGGGAAGGGAATCATGAGCTCTCTTTCTCCACACAGGTATCAGCTACTGCAGGCGCATCCGGAAGAGCCACATACTACCCAGAGTGTGAAACCCAGTAAAAGCGAAGTCTGTTGACCGTCCCAACACTGGCGGAAACCCCTCTTCTTTGTGTAAGGATCTTCTTTTCCATGAAACTTCCCCTGTCCCCTGCTCCTGAGGTCACAGTGCAGCGCAGTGTTGTTTAGCACCACTGGCACAGGAACCGCAAGGAAGTCGGCTCGAAATGCTACTTCACAAGGAGGAGCAGGCGTGCGGAGGCCTCTACACCTCTGACAACAGTGTTCAGAGAGAAGTAACGGGGCAGAGGGTGACTCCGTGCACAGCGACACTACCTCTCACAGCAAGCAGCCGTTGCACACTGGCGCCCTTGGTGTACCTAATGACATTAAATCTCAGCCAGGGAAAGTCCGGCCGGCACGCTGAGCTACTGAAAAGAGAGTGGCCAGAATTACATCTCAGGCTGCCTCGGAATATCTTATTCTTTGTGCTCTATAAAAGCTGAAGGTCACCTAATTTTCCCCCTTTCAATACAATTATATTTTAATAATCCTCAATGTAATGGTATTTCTTGAAATTTTTTTCAGAAAGTCATCAGAAAAGAACTAAAAAGATTTTTAAAATACTGACTTAATAGTATTTACAATAGCAAAAACCAAGTATTACACAGTAAGAAACTGGTTTAACAAATTCTGACACAGAACATTAGAAGTCGTTACACACCATCGAAGGAGTATTTAATGAGAAATAAAGTCCCCAGATTATGGTGGACACACAATGAAGAATTTTTAAACGAATAAAATACAAATTCAGTTTACAAACTATACACGTAACATTCCAATCTTAATGTACATAGACTTTATACACAAATGTATTTTATATACATCTTTTATATATACTATGCACATTCGCACTGAAGAAGAGAAAGTACCCCCAGTGGTCACAGCAGTTATTTCAGGTGGGACTAAACACAATTATCATGAATGGAAATCACCTTCAAAATTAGAAATGAAGCCATTGAGGTCATGGTGCCGGTTTGAGCCGCAAGGTCAGCATGGAGTGTGATGCTCCCTGTCAGTCACTGACAGAATAAAATGATCTTCTTCATCACCCTCCCGCCAAGACCCTCAGTGCTAACCAGGCCCAGCAACTCGAAATCCTCCACCCTGTCATCCTTCACGTATAATTAATCCCTGTTCCTCAGCTACTATCTCCTATTAATATGCATATTAATATAAAATCTACTTATCTGTGAGCTGTGTTGTAAAAATGCCAATATTCCTTTATCTATGGCTCTGGAATTTTTCCTCTGAGGCAAAGAGGGGTGTGTGTATGTATTTGACAAACTCATTTATTTATGACAAATGGCCCTAAACCTGTTTCACATATGGCCATGGATATTTTTACTAGCTCTGCTGAAGAGAATCCCATCCTTCAAAGTGACAGTTATAGTTTCCCTTTAAAAATGTCATTTTGAAAGTAAGGGTTTTTTTTTTTTAATAGCATTTTGAATCAACACTGGCAAATTTTTAGAGTGTTTCCAAAGATACAGTTATCCAAGGTCAAGAAAAATAACGATATCTCCTTCCTAAGAGTCTTCTTTCCTGGGAAAAGCCTATTCCAGCCTACCTCTCAGAGCTACTCTCTAGCCCATCACGCCGTACACAGTGTGATCTGAGTATCCCGAGTGTAGCTCCTCCCATCTTCCTTAAGTTGCAGTGAAAGGCGCTTCTCTGGGCTCTGTTTGTGTGGTTACCATGGGAGCGACCTGGATTTTGCACCTGGGAGAAGCCCATTTGGGTCAGGGGAGAGAAGTAAGGCACCAAAAGAATGGGAGAGGAAGTTGGAGCTATGATCAACACCCCGAAGCATTTACTTTTCATCTGAAACAGTTCTGGGCCAAAATCTATAAAACTATTACAAAAAGATCTATAAAACTCTGGCCTGCCTTGGGCTCCCTGGCACAGAAGCCCTACGACTGGGATGTGAGCACCATGATCGTCAGCCTTCCCTGGCTCCTAGCAGCTTAAAGGTCTTCACACCGTCTCCCTGTCAGGCCCCGGTTCCCAGATTCACTCACCAGACAATGGAAACATCAGCGGGAACTGAAAGTGTCTGACGGAAAACAGAAGGGACAGGACACTGTGCTTGCCCAACACTTACATCCACCAGCTGCCCCACTGTTTTTGAGGGTGTCACTGTAGACAGCACAGGGAAAGAGCAGCCAGTGAAAGGAATACTACAGTTTTCTGTCTTTATGCATCTGCTCAACTATTAATAAAGTAACTGCCTTGAGTATCTACATCAAGTAAACCAATGACTTTCAAAATATTTTACCCTAAGATGATTTTTTAGAATCCTCCAGTAGGTAACAGAAAAAGCAGCTGATATGATTAAAGACTGGGAGATACCAGGGCTGCAGAGCTCCCTAAGAGCCTGTCCCCCCTCTTCTTCTGCTTCTCCCCACAGCTCCCTACACAACTGCCTCACTCTGGAACTGCGGAGCCCTGAGGACACAACTGGAAACTCAATCGCAGAAATCCTGTCCCAGCCATCACGGAGTTAATAAGAGCAAGCACTATTTCCAGCAATGCAAAAGTCCACATTACACAGTCATTTGCAACTTTCAGTGTCAGGAGGAGTCACTAATTATTTTCAACACCATTTGCTCCATTATTATGAGCAAAATTATGGTGCAATAGCGTTTAAAATCTGGTGGCTCATAAAATAATAGGTCCAATTTCTTTAAAATGCATTATGTCTTCTCAAATTGTCTTTGAGGGTGAAAAAGACTATTTTTTTAAAATTAGCTAGTAGTGAATCAGTTCTAAAGCATAGTCAGAGGTCAGAATTATCTGAAACTCGCTGGATAATAGAAATTGTTACAGTACTTTCAGAATGGAAAAGAAAAATAAGCAATGGTTCCCATGCCCTCTTCACGAGCCAAGAGGATATCCAGAAATTTAACACATCCTTCTCACTTTGCATCTTCATAAAGCTGACAAAGGATAGGGTGAAGTTTTAAGGAGTCAATAAAACTTTACTAAAGCACTCTGAATATCT